GGGTCTTTGTGGAAGGTGAGGATCCCTCCGTGGAGGACGGTCCAGGACTGACTCCAGTTCTTCCTGTCCAACAGTAACAACAACAGCACAATCAACAAATGCTGTGGAATCACGTTATATTTCATATATTATATAAAAATCTACAGAGAGATAAACTGAGAGATAAAGTATACGGTCCAATAGTGTTTCTTGCTCAGAAGGGTTTCTAACTGTATTTAGCCATGATCAGAGCTGTTTGAGTCCTCTAAAGTCTGAAGAAAGGTGTTCAGTCCTTCCTTTATCATCTCCTTTAGCAGAGGATACACTGGAGCCTTTTCCATACCAAAGGAGATAATGCCGTCCCATAATTTCTTGGGCCGGCAAAAATTAAAGCAACGTACCGATGTAGTTTCACCATGTCAGACCCAGCAAATGTAGAAACAACAGAGCAGCTGTTTCATGTTTGTAACAACATCCAAAACTAGTGGAAATCCATAAATATAGATTTGCTCTTGTGCAATTCTGTCCATTTAGGAGTCAGACAAATAATCAACAAAACAATGTATAAATAAAATGTTTTCTCTACTTAACAAATGTCTAAAAACGTCAAAAGCAGCCAGAAACCCCCTTTTATTGGAATATATTTAACTCTTGTTCAAGTCCTTAATTTTATTTAATGAATATTTTAATGGCTGAACTTTTGTTTTTATTTTCAACAATATCTTCCTGTGATTAACTGATGGTTAAATGAAGCCTTTTTATAACCTGAAAGCATCCGCTCTCAGGAGGAGTGATCTCTGTAGCACTGAGTTTGTCACTATTGTTCTACCATGTGTCAATAATAATAAATAAATAAATAAAGTTGAATCAAAAAGAAAAGAGCCTAGTGTAAAAGCAGTTCTTATGAATTCTCCTTCACATCTTTCCACAGAGTTCGAGGAAAATTGTTCAGGATGGGACACAGGACATAACATTTTGTACTTTTTGAACACAGCTAGTCTCACCTGATCTTTTTGCCGTTATCGGCTATTTTGGTCTTGTTGATGATTCCTGCTTTCTCCAGCAGATGGCACTGTAGAGACAGACAGACAGACAGGCTGGTGAGAGCTCAGGTTTCTCTGAACCGGCAGGTCGGCTTTGAAACGTGACTCCTTTGTAAACATGGGAGTGGTGTGTGTGTGTGTGTGTGCAGTTTTATATCTGTGAATAAAAACTACCTGAACATGTTTTCACAGCCTCAGTTTGAACACTTATCAAAAACCTCCTGAAGAACCCACAAGAGGGTCATCAAGAATCTTCCTCAGTGACCCACAACAATCCTGAGAACCTCCACATGTCTTCCTTTGAGGTCTTTTCCACCAACAGGGAACCGGCTCTGTTCCGGTTCCTAAAAGTAGTTTCTGAGCATTTTGACCAAAAACATTACTGTTCAGGACCTGAAAAGTTGGTTCTCAGCTGGAACCAAAACATACCTACTCCTTGTAATGATGTTAATATAATATTATATATGTGCAATAACAAACACATAATAACATAATAAGGAAATGTTGTTAATTAACGGCAAGTCATAAAAATGATACTGAAGTATGATTAAAATGTTTATTGACAATCTTTTATGTGTTTACTGCAAAAATAGGCAATGTTGCAATACTACCAGTCATAGCGACTATGCATTATTCAAAAGAGAGTTGGGTGTGGTGAGATAGTCCTTAGAAACACCTCAAGGAGCCCTAGAACATCATTACCATCAAGCCTCATAAAATCTCCATAAAACCCCAACAAGGATCACTAGATTAGTCCACAATGACTCATAATGCCTAAGGACAGCTAAAACCTCCTCACAGACCTCTACAAACTTCTGATGGACCCCTAGACCTTCCTCAAAGACCCCCTGTCAAGGACCTGTCAAACATCTTTAAAGAAACCTCAAATCTCCTCATTGACCCATAATTTCTACCCAAGGACACCTAAACCTCCTCAAGGTTTCCAGGACAAGAACAACATGGTAACACATAGCGCACCTCTAGATCTTCCTCAGTGATCCTCAAGAGTCCTTTTTAATAATAATACCTCTTTAATGTCTCCAAGAATTTCCTCAAGAACAAGAACATTTAGCTCAAAGACCCCCAAAACATCCTCAGACAACCCTTGGACTACATTAACAACTGCTAGAGGCTCCTCTCGAACCAACAAATACATCCCAAAGAACCTTGGATCTTTCGCAATGATCCCCAAAACCTCGTCACACTTGTCTCTCAGTTTGTTTTATTCCAGTTTGTCATTAAAATATCTCTGCTTGATTCAATTATGTAATTGATTTTAATTTGTTGCTTTATGTTAGTGTTGTTAGTTCCTCATCGTCACCCTGAGAACCAACAGCAGAACCCGACCAAAGCTTCAGAGGTGTTAATACACATAATGAATATTAATATGATTTGGAGGGTTAGTGGAGAAACACAGGGCAACTTTCTGGGCAATATTTAAACCCTGAGGTCCTGTGTGTCTGAACTGCCCAGAAAGTTCCTTTCAGATAACAAGTTAGTTTTAGAAATTATATAAAATGTTAGTTTGATTCTCCGCGGATTCAATCACAATCACTTGTTTCTGACAGAGACAAACCAACACACCCAGCAACCAATCAGAGTCCAGGACCTACGTTTAATTGGTGGGAGCCTGTGCTCCGATTGGATAGATTCCTCTTCAGCCTGTGCCTATCAAAAAGCTTGATGAGGGAAAACAGGATGACATCAAGAATGAATGGACTGTAATGGATCAGGCAGTGAGACAGGCGTGTGAGAGGGTGAGACAGGTGAGTGTGTGTCTACCTGTGGGCTGTCGGGAGACTGTCTTCTGTTGACCTCAGTGAAGTCTGAGACGATCCTCCTGTGGCTAGGAGCAAATGTCTGAAACACAAAAGGCGTCAGTTTTTATCATCGTCATTTATTTTACCTTCATTAAACCATTTAAGTAGACTGAGGACCAATTCTCATTTACAATGATGACCTAATCAACAGTATTGGTTGCCTTAAAAGTATACATTTTGTGTTTGAAATCGGGTATAGTTTCAGGAAAGGCTGGCGGCTTCGGTTGGGGCGTGTCTGGCGATACAAGGTAAATTTCCATACTGGCTAAGCCTGTGACCATTCATGTGTTTGTTATTTTTTTAAGGCGCCAATCCAGGGCCAACGATTTAGTGCAAAAGCGGGCAAGTGGGCTTAGCTTATGCGCCCCCCCGCATGAAAGTTCTGCTAGTTCTGGAAGCCCGCATGTGATTTCAACATTGAATGAAGATGGACGCAGGAAAAAGCATTGGCAGAAGAGCTAAATCGTGGCTGTTACAGCAAATCTATGGCCAGTACTTTAGCGAGACGGGCGAATCTAAAAAAGGACATTTTCCTTGAAATAAGCAGTAATTCATGATATTTCAGTTGCAGATTTGTCACGTTATTTTGACATTAACATGTAATTCCAGGTATTTTTCTTAAAAGTAAAAGATTGCAAAAAAATTACAAAGTGATTACTTAATGTCTTGTTTCTTAATAAATGAACTTCCACAGTATTTGAGTTTGGTACTTTACTCGGAGTAAGATCAGTACTGTGTAATGAACCGCTGATAGAGAGTCTGCAGGTTTTACCTGAGCGTGATGTCACTGATAAGCCCCGCCCTCTCCGCAGATGTGGGGCGGGGTTTTGTAAAGAATCGCTGCCAGACTTGTTTTACTTTGCAGGTTTGAATCAGGCAGCTGACAGGTGAGTGTGAACTTAATATGAGACATTAGAAGGGAGCCAGTACTGCTGGACTCGGATCAGGTTTATGAGCAGTCCTACGTGTTGGGGGGGCAGAAAGAGATGGCAGGATAGCACGGGGGGTTAGCATTAGCGTTAGCTTCGGAGCTGATTGTAGTTTGACTTGTTCTGACAAAGAAGAGGAACAATAACTGTCATCTCTGTGTTTGTGTGTGGCAGCTGCTGTCGTCTGTTTCTGTCCCACTGGGAAACACACACATTTTATTTAATGATAAACTAGCTATACAGTTAGGTTAGATGTACAGTCTATATACACATAATTCTATACAGACATAGATAATTATATAAATATAATATATATATATTAATATTATATTAAATATATATATATATTTTTGGGCCATACTAACGAATGTTGCTGAAGTGTGGTTTTATGATCAGTTTGGTTTTTGTGAGTTTTCTGAAGCTGATGCAGAGTCCCTGAATCCTGGAAAACCTGAAAATATAGAGAGCAGTTTTCCAGTCATGGAAACACCTGAAAATTCTTAAAATGACCAAATATCTAATTTGTTGTCCTGAAATTTAATATGGAGGGATTTTTTTTTATTTTCCAACAAACGCTTTATTTCTAAGACTGGAACTGTGCGTATGAGTCTGTATTGATTGTTTGCAGATGAGAACCAGTCGACAGTTAACCTCTAATGGCTAATGTAGCTAGCGGCTGGATGGTTAAGGCTGTTACATACTCGCCATTCCCGACCTGTCGCGCACAATTGACGTGAAATGACTAGATCTCGCTGGCGACAGGACTTAGGCAGGTCGCCCAGGTTCACTCTTTTTTTTCATCTGAGGCACCAAAGTGGAATGGGAGAGACTTCACTTCCTAGATGAAGTTCAATGCAAGCTTTCGGCAAGGTGGCTTCAACAGGCATCTGTACGATCTTCAATGAAGGAACAGAGATGCAGAATTCATGAGAAATCGCCATGAATTGGGAAGGGAAGATTTGGAAATCAAAAAGAGGTTGCCATTGTTTACCTTGTTCTTCTTCTTCTAGTGGTAGAAATAGCAAAGTCGGTAGCCTTTCCTCAGTTGCGACACCTTGTTCAGGAGAAGACTGAACTAGTGTCGCGACCCCAGCGCAAGTTAAATAATTACGGTGCTCCCGTGATGTCACATTGTCGCGCTACAGGTGGAACGGCGAGTATATA